GAGGAGGTAGAGGTAGGTCGTCGTCGTCGTACACACTCCTCCTCCACTCCTCCTCTCTCTCTCTCTCTCTCTCTTCTTCTCTCTCTACAATATATCTCTCTCTCTCTCTCTCTCTCTCTCTCTCTCTCTCTAGGGGATTATCTAGTGGCTCTCTCTTTCATGGGGTTATTGACTGGCAGATTACTGGTTCGTAGTCTGAATCAGAGGGAAATGAGGGCGGGAGCTTCAATCGTATTCGAAGTCTGGGATGTTCGGAATTTCGGATTCAGTTGACGGAACTTCGAAGTCCGAGATGTTCGGAATTTCGGATTCAATTGAAGGAATCGAAACTTCGGGAAACAGGAGGTCGAGCTACGATGGTGTGCCTCGGCGGAGGTTCCGTTAAAGACATGGTTATAATTATTAGGGTTCTTTTCGCTCCTTAGAGAAAACATATGAGTTATGTTTGGAACTTTTAAGTTTGGAATTTTGACTTTGGCTTTCTACCCTCTTAGGAGAGGCAAATTTTTCCATGAAGAACCTCTTTCCCCATCACGTTTTTTTTTTAAATCGCGGAAGCATGCATCTTATATATGCTCGACGATGGAGGTGGAGGGGCTTGTGAGCTCGACATTTAGATCTCTAATGAGCCTGAGATTAGGGCGTCAGATTGGCTTGGAGTTAGGGTTTGTGACTAGCCTAAGATTACGGTTTTCGAGGACCTTGAAACGGTACTTCAAACCCCAACATTATGGCTCTAGAATCCAAAATTAGGGTTCCTAAACATGAAGTTAGGGCCCGGGGCATTTGTGACATGGGTTTTGCATCAAATTGGACCATTTACAAAAATGTTTATGTGAGGTTGTAACTTTAAAATGTAGAATTAAAGATGCATCGTGTATAAAATTGCAACTATATGGTTTTATCTAGAGTTAACAACCTCTCAAAACACAAAAGTGTAAGTTAGAAAGAGGTGTGATGGGTGTATTTATCAAAACAATAATTATTTTTTTATTAAAAAATTATTTAAATAGGTAATTTTATCATTAAAATTTGACATTTTCACAAAAATACCATGACATTTTAGAAGTTAATGTCTTGAAACTTTATTTGTAGAGTGCCCTTGTCTTTTAGTTAAAATTTCAACTTTATCTCTTATGGAGATGACAAAGGTACCATTTGTCTAGTAATATTTACAAAATTGCAGTAACTTTTTTAAAAATACAATGGCATTTTAGAAGTTACTGTCTTGAAATTTTATTTGTATAGTGCCTTTGTCTTTTAGTTAGAATTTCAATTTTACCTCTTATGAAAATGACAAAGGTACACTTTGTCTTGTAGTAATATTTATAAATTGCCCCACAAAAGTAACTTTTTAAAAAAAATTAAACTACAAAATTAATAAATCCAATCTTCACAACTCTCTATAAATCTTTGTAATTTGAAGGGTTGTGAGGTTTAGATTATATATATATATATATATATATATATGAGTAATGATCTTATGAGACCCTCACATACCCATGTGTATAGGACCCTAAAGGATCACTATTA